AGACCCCCGGCACAACCCGAAGTTGTACTGGTGACAGTGGCCTTTGCTGTGATTGTTGTTGTGTGGGTTATCAATGGTTGGAGACCCTCCTGTCCGGTTGACACACTGAAGGAGGTCCTTGAGTTAGCAGAGTTTTTGTCGCCGGTTGGCACTAGAACCAAATCCAGCTTATCGGAGCGTACCAGATGGGGCGAGGAAAACAGCGAAAACCTGGAATTTGAGAAAGTGATCTATTGTGAGAGACAAACAATGAACATTTAGAGATGAAGTTATTTTAAAAGGAGATTGAAACGAGGCCAGGCATCAAGTAGTACTAAATGCAAAAGATAAACTAACCCCTTGGAACAAAAGTAGCCAATCAGGCTAATGACAACGAGAACCACAAGGAGGGCCAGTACGATTAGCGCTGCATAGACGGAAGGAAATTCGCCGTTCAAGCCACCTCCGTTAGGCATAGTGGGGGGTCCTGTAGAACCATGGATGGAGCCATTGCTCGATAGGCGCGTCGGCACATCACCAAACTCGTTTACTGGACTACTGGCACAAGTCGCTTCGTCCGAGCTGTCGTGACAGTCAGCCTTTCCATCACAGAAGAATATCATGGGGATGCAACGTTCCCATGCAGCGGCTGCCGGCGACGAGTGCTTTCGGTAGTAGCGATATAATCCACTGGAGAAATCCGCTCGAGCCATCAACGGAGAGTTGTCTCCAGAGTAGACTCGGGGTTGTGGGCGTCGACATTCAAATTGGTCGGGTCCGCAGCAGGCCTCATCAGAGTCACATTCAATCATGCCGTTGCACCGGGAGCTTAGGGGCAGACATTGACCATCGTTGCATTCGTACTCCGGACAAGTTGCGGGGCAGTTGGTCTCATCGCTACCATCCTGTAAAGAAAAGTATCTGCACATATATAAACAGAATAAGCTAAGGGGAACAGATAAGCTGGACACGAAACCTGCGCCAAACTGGTCTCGATAAGAGAGTTCGAAATAAATTACAATTTTCGTTGTTGTTCCTAGCGGAACATCATAGCAATGAACAATGCGTTTGTATGGGAAGGATTACTTTGCAGGAAAGCAAAGGAAGTGAAAGGTCGTCTATAGCGGGGACTCAAGACAATAACATGTTCATCTTCAATTGTATGGTGTCGAGAAAAAGTTACCGAGTAACGAAAGCCGTAGACCGCATGGATGTTCCAGTTTATGTCGGTAAACGCTTTTCCACACAAGTGAACTAACAGATACCAAGTATTCTTCTTTACGTTCATGGAGTGATGGATAATTTCGGCTCAAAGATGTATTATGCAGCGCATCATGTTCAAGTGAAGTGCTTACGAGTGCGAAGCTAAAAAGGGTGTTTAAGTGACTGGCAAGCTAATAAATTTCTCCACAGAGCCAAGTCTATGGAAAAAGGCCCTCTGGGTTATTATTTGCTCACGTAGTCAACGGCCGGGTCTTTGGAAAGTTTGCCAAAAGCAGATTGGCATAGAGTACGTAAAATAACTGGTTGAATTAAGAGAAATGTTATGAAATACTGTTTAGGTTAGAGGGGACTGTCTAATTGGGGTAGTATAACAACTTAGAATGTAATCTTCATTCCTCCATATGTGTACTCATTTGTTTTAGGGAATAACGTCTTTGTGAAACCCTGTACTTGAAGGAGGGCAGTCTGTGATTATTATAAAAGTTTTTAATTATGATAAGATTTGATAGACTAGAATCATAATTTATGCAGGACAGAATCTGCCACTTTAGCAACGCTACCTCTAAAATTTACAGTGGTCACCGCAAATAGAGTAAAACCAGGTGATCACAAGATAGTTTGCTCTTACTGCTGTGTAGATAAACGTGATCTCCCTTAATTAACTGGTAGGTGGGATACCTTAAATATGAGGAAAACAGTCCTTCGGATTTCAAAAAATACAGGAAAAAGGGTTCAAAACCACAAGCATTTTCTCCCGAAATTAAGTCTGAATAGAACACAGTCTTAATTTTTCTTAAAAGACAATAAGAAGATATTTTGAGAAAAATATTTTTGTTAGTATGACCCACTTGCTGGAAGTAACAAAAATATATAGTGCTTGACCATTCTGTGGTGCTCAACAAGTCAATTAGTGGCTGGAAATGGGTTTATTCAAAAGCCAGAATCTCGGTGTGTATGAAATATTTTTAGGGTACGTTTCATGAAAATGGGTGTCGCAGTTTGGCGTTAATAATAACTTCTAACTGATGCCAGATGTTGGAATTTGGGTCCGAGTTGCACATACTGCTATTGTCGTAATTCGCAAATCGTTAAGTTCATGACAAAGGCAAAACAATACGTCCTCGTCGGTCGTGTCAAGTCTTTCCAGAAGAAGCGACGGTTGACTTTGTCGAAACCTATCTATCACTGTGAAGATAGTGCAAATCGAAAATTACCTTCTTTAAAGCCAACCCAAAGACCAACAAATATCCTTAAGTTATGTATACCCTGAGAAGATCTCCACAAGTAGGTCTAACCCGAACACCTTTTGTCGATTGGCAGGTAGCTTATTGTCACGCAAAAAATGACCTAAGTCGTGTCACTCATGTGTGGATATTTCGCCAAAATGGGCTTCAGTTTTACCCTTAGAACAGCAATGATCAATATCAGAAGCGTTTTCATCGGTCAGTACGATTGGTAGTTTTTATATGATGCAACTGTGTCAATAGCTAGTCAATGTTAGTTGATTATTGAGCAGATTGCTCCCCTCTTACACAGAAAACCTCTCCTGAAATCGCAAGATGGAGTTTAGATACTGCAAAAGGTCGGCTTGTTAAGGGTAAATGGCACCATGCGACATAAAGACATGGTAATATTTGAGCTATTTCTTAATAACTTTTAGTCAACCAATAAGATGACACAGCCTGGTGTCTAGAGTTGAGAGGGCAGAAAGCAAGGAGAGCCCTGATGTGCTAGTATCACCATTATTTCTAATACTAACAGCATCACTGAAATCGCCCTATTCCCGTTGAACTGACTTAGATTGTCGTAATGTATATACCTGATACTGTACTGTCGTACTGCTGTCCTCTAGGCTTATACTTGTAGTGTGATCTCTCTTTACTGTATTCATCAATCCTTCTTTTAAAGGTACTTGTACTATCCCTCTACCAGTTAAATAGAAATAACACTGCCACTACCAGTACTCTCAGTAAAAAAAACTAGCAGTAAAAGCACGAGTCGTAGTAGTAACAACGTGAAGCTACTTAAAAACCTTACCTGCCGGATGAGACAGAATCACCTCAGCTGATATACTCATATATCCACCTGTTATACTGAATTGTTATAAAATAAGATGTACGTCATATTTCTGAACTATTAGTACTGATAAAGGAATTGGCTAAGCTTCCATGGCTAGCTGACTGCTGGAGAATCTTGCTTCCTACTGAACGGACGGTGCTCTGCAATTTCTAAGCTAAAACTAGATATTGCAGATGTCGTAAAGGTTCAAAATTAGTGAGCGCAAAGCGATGGTAGATCTATAGCTATTATTAAATGCACGCACTGAAACTTGCTACTTACTGGCTTTAGCAGGTATGATTACTAGAACCAGCACTTTTAGCCTAGGCACAGCACTTCTAACAGATGTATCCTGAAAAGGGCACATGTCACCCTGTTACCACATAAATGCATTACAGATCCTCAGCTCTTGCTACCTAAACCTTTCTCTAAACCTGAGCCTAATAATATCCCCTTATAGGTCTATGACTGCACACTAAGCTTAAATATCATACATGTACGCACAGGCCGCATGGTAGTCTACCACCTACTGGTATTTGCAAATATGGCTACTAGGATTAGCACCCCTAGTATAACATTTTCTAGAGTAACATACTAGAGATGAAGGAAACACGGCCCGGACCAAACTCCAACCAGCGAAACTGTTGTCCTCGAGATGAGAGTGCGGAAACCAAGTCAAGCAGAGGTTGGTCAGGTTCCCAAGCGTGTACTTACCCGAAAAAGTTAAACCCAGACTCACATTCCTGTTGAGAGCAAAGGAATATAAGCCGTAGCGTTGCCATACTCCGCATCGCCGTTGACAAATTGCGGCACTAGTGCTAGCGATATTTTGTCGAGATTGAGGGGACATGATCCCCATGCTGACTCTAGTACTCCTGGCATAGGCACGTACCTATAGCAGCAGCATCTTAGTCCGTACAGCTCGATGGATCAAGTTGAAAT